GCTGGCTGCCCTACAGGGCTTCCTCCCTAAGACAGGTAATGACCCAAAGCTGGAAGGGTGAGGGGATGTCAACAGTGCCAGGGCTGTGACATAGCAGAGAGCCAACGTCCCGTGAAAGAAACACCTACCGGAACAGTCTCCACAGAGCACAAGTGTATTAAAATATATTCCTAAATAACTGGCTGCAAATTACAGACCTGAGCAGAATTAAATTGATGAGGTGAATTAGGCGTCCCTGGACCAAGCAGAATTAACATGATTTAGATCAATGCAATGCTTACTAGATTATTTCTCTTTCAAGCATTTTCTCTTAACTATTGAGGGATTTGCTAATTTAACTTACAGTCGATGCATCCCAATTTACTGGGTGCAACTGTTACTCTCAAATTTGAGCAGTGAAAGTGTTTTCTGAAACCTGCAGAGTAGAGCTGTCTGATGGATTTAGACTGGAATGCACAACTGGGGTGTTCATCCAGATGGCCAGAGAAGATCACAAAGCACAGACCAGCCTCTGACACAGGACACTGAAGTGAGATTAATTTCTTGGAAATATGCTCTTCCACACCTTAAAATAGCACAGGCTGTCCTATTCCTTCCCATGTGCTGGAGGGTATCAGTGCAGAACCGCAAAACATTCTATGTTTGGCTGGAGCTAATTTAGCCTTCCTTTTACAAAAACCACACTAATCCCCCCATCTTAAAAGAATGAGCTTCCTGCTCAGTTAACTCTGTGTGGCAGGAAGAAATTCTTCCTTTGTGTTTTTAGCGGCAAATACCAGCTACCAGGCACCAAAGTTTCACGCCCAATTCTACACCGCTTTCCCAAAATGGATAGGTCTCTTCATCCAGGATTGGGGGATAAAAGAACTGTGGTTCTACAGATCCAACAAAGCAATCTCACCGATTAAGTGCTTTGGGAACTAAGCACGGGGCAGCACGACACATCGCAAAGCAGCCAGGAGTAAAACAAAGTAAAAGCCAGGCAGAATGAAAAAGGCTCACGTCTCAGGCTCCCCTCCTGAAGCTTTGTAAGTCTCTTCCACATACACTGCATTCAGAGGTACTCAAAGCAACCTCGGAAAATAGGTTTGAGTCTAGCTCTGTGCAAAACACACTGAGAGCAGAACCTGCGCAGAGGAATAATGACCAGCTTATGTTCTTTCTAAGCAACGGTGGAAGAGTGCAGGAGGATGCATTTGATGACTTTCTCTAACCCGAATCCAGAGGTGAGGCCCCAAAATGAAAGTTTTTTCATGCGCAATTTAGTTAAAAAAATATTTTACTTTCAGTAACAATATAATTTATTTCTGAAAGTAAATTAATCCACCTTTCTTTAATTATGTGATGGTTCTGGCAAAGAGAAGCAGCAGGTACAGTTGGTGAAGTATTTTCATTTGAGCTGAATTTCACACAGTTCCATGCAGATACAGTGCCAGAAACTTCTTGAATGTGTCTGGCTGAAAGCCATATATTCCAGCGGGCTTCTGCAGAGAAAAAGACATGGATGCTCAGTTTGCAGTGAAGTGATTAATGTAGACAAACAACGGCTTTAAATACGCTTGAGTAAGACTTCCGACGTGGCAACTTCCAAACTGTGCTCTCCCTCCACAGATAGGTTTGTGTGTGGGTACTTCCACTGGTATACATCTCAAACGGCATAAACCCTTTGCCCACGGAACCAAGACACCCTCCCAGCGTAACCAGGGCTGACAGCACCGTGCTCTATTTACCCTACAGCGAAGCTGACAGTTGCATGTAAGCACTTCCTCCATCAGAGCACGCGTTGATTTTAAACAAGCATATTATGAGATGGTAGATTACAGATTGGGATATCTTTATGTAGGAGTTCATATTAAGCTTGGCATGTGGCTTGCATGCTACACAGTACATCAGCACTACAAATACTCCCTGTCAGTAACACCTGCTTAAATAAGAACGAGGCCAGTGCCTGTGTCAAGGTCCCTTCAGCTGGTTTAAAAGCCGCACTGCAGCCCTATGCCAGCTCCCAAACCTCCAGCAGAGGTGAAAAGGTAGGATTTCCAGGACCATTTCCCAAGTTTTGCTTACCATAACAACTCTCTTCTTGACTTCTGGGATACACTGGGCTTTTTCATACAGATTCTGATCAGAGTCAATCCAGACTAGGTTTTTTATGCCACCACTAGAGACAAGGTCTGTTGTATTTAACTGGAACACCATGAACTGGAAGAGCTGGCCATCTGTACCAATGCTTTGCACCACTATTGGTTGCTCCAAAACCTTGGGATCATTCTACGAAAGAAAAGGGGGGGGGGGAGGAGCAGGAAGAACATTTAAAAAGCCAGTTACCACAGAAATTGTATGAGTACTTGCTGATTCTGCATCTTCTACTTGGTTTAAAGCCAAGATTTTAATAAACGTATTGTTACCTTGCCCAGAAAATTACTGTAGTCAAACAAGTTTTGAATGTAGATTTTGTATTTTAATTAAAATTCCTCCTTTGGCCAGCAATGAAGTATCAATTTACATACTGAGTTGTGGGATGGGTTAGAGTTTTACAATTGAACCTACTCCCCGGTTCCTACCCATTACCACTCTAACACACGGTACATCACAAACACACTCATTGTCGAGAGATCTTTCTCTGGATTAGCAGAACCACACCTGAAGGTTAGAGTTAAACCTCTGGACTGGGAAGCTCAGATTTGAAAACTACTGTAACATGCCACAGCAAGGGAATGTCATGGCTCTTTCCACTAGCTGCAGCTTCAGAGAAAGAACAAAGGCCCAGCAAGTCAGCAGTAGTCTCCAATACATACCCCGTACAACACCTTAGCCTTCGCCAACGCATTGCCGAAAGCAAACATCAGCATTTTAGCACGAAGTTGTTCTGGTCTGAACCTGTTAGGACGAATGTTGGCCGATTCCAGGAAGAACAGAGTGTGAGGATGAGAGTACGGATAACCATCTCTAAAACCTAAATGGTAGATAATCATGTCAGGAATTGCTCAGTAAGAGACTACACAGCCAATGTTTTCTCCCCTGTCGTCAGGAACTGTTAATTCTGGTATTTAAGTTGTTCTCCACAGCCCCGCTTCGGCCACAGTATACTCGCCACAGGCCTGGAGCGCTTGCACTGCATGCCCTGTGCCCAGCTACTGTGTCCCCTCATGCTCACCCACTCCCTATCCACAGCCATCTCGCAGAAGGGCAAGGACTCCAGGTTAACCCAAACACTTAGCCTGACAGAAAATTATCATCAATGGCTAGATTTACCTGTATCATTGAGCTCTTTGTACACTTTCACTTCCTGAAGATCAATTGTAGGAGAGATGGGATAGAAGGTCTCCAGAACATGTTCTTCTGTGGCCAGTATCTCCTCCTTGGAGGCTACTGGTGGTATTGGAGACATAGAGTTCATAAGTATTCCATTCAGGCCACGGACCTGAAGGAGAACGGATTCTGGGGAGGGAAATTAGGCTACATTCAAACACTGACAAAGTAACAT